CCTAATGTTTTTTTTTAAACAGCTTTGAAGAGAGAGCTTTTGAGAGCTTTTCTAACAGGAACTTTCATTTATTGTCCATAGCATGAGAAATGGAAAGAAGGGAGAAATGTTCAATTCCAGTGAGGACAAGCTGAAAGAAGGGGGTTCAGTCCAGAGAAGAGAAGGGTCTGGAGAGATCTTAAGTAATTAAGGGGGCCTATAAGAAAGACGGGGACAAACATTTTAGCAGGGCCTGAAGAGATAAGTCTTAAACTGAAGGAGCACTGACTTAAGATTACAGATAAGGAAGAAGTTTTTTTAAAACAAAGGTGGCAAAGCCCTGGTGCAGGTTGCCCAGAGAGGGATTTCTGCCCCTGGAAAAATGTAAGATCAAGTTGGACGAAGCTCTAAACAGCCTGATCTTGTTGATCTAGTCCCTGCTCATTGCAGGGGTGTTGGACCATTAAAGGTCCCTTCCAAACCAAACCATTCCATGATTGTATGAAGTTTGTTTTAGATTAACTTCAAGCCATATCAATATTTCATTATTTAGTTTTACCTGCTTAGTTAGCTTTGTGCTTTTTTTCACATCAGGAAATTCACACGACCTGTTCTACTTCTGCAATGAAAAGTTACTTAACTAATATATATAATTTACTTAACTAAGATACTTCACTAATTGTACCTTGCTGTCTATTCAAATAAATTTGTCTTTTTTGACAATTATATATGTATATATTCTGGAAGATAAATGCAGATTGAAGTGATACCAGTACTAACATCAAAGTCGTTCTCACGGTTTCTCACAGACAAATTTTGTACGTGCCAAAAATAACTACAGTATGTAGCTGAAAGACAGTTAATTTTTCTCCAGTATAACTTAGCACAGGCTTCCAAACCAAGAACACAGCCCATTGTTACATGACTTGAATTTGACTATGCCTATGACTGAAGGAATTCAACTGCTTATTCTCTAAAACAACTACTACCATATCATCTCAATAGTTAAACACCACCCCTGGGCTACAGAATAAAGACACTGACTGAGAAAGACAGAAACAATTTACAGGTATTTCACGTAACAATTTTTCCAGGCTTTCCACAGAAAGTCAGCTGCATTTTGCTGGTATTCTAAGGGCTCCAGTAATGAAACAAATGACAATAATGTACTTGGAAAAACTTCCTCAATGCATACTCTTGAAAAAATAACATTGTTTTATGCAACTGTCTGACCTTTCCTGTGCCAATAATGAATGCATCTCGCTGGAGTTAAGGTTTCCATACATAAGAGAAGAGTCATGTTCAATGTGCATTATGATAATGCTGTGCAACACACAACAGGAGACTGGAAGGCATAAGCAGAGGTGACAACGGATGCAATAGTTTTCTTCCTTCAGCAAATTTCATATCTAAGTTCTTCAGCAAGAAAATAAGTATCAGACATAACAAAGGTTTACCTGACTAAACCAAAAGCTTTATGCAGTGTTTAAGAAAAATAGTTTGCTGGAAACCTAGTCAGGGAAATATATTTTGTGGATAAAGAGTAAAATGTCAGTATTCTTAGTGCACAAGCAAAAAGAGAACACTGGAGGTGATGAAGTGAATATTGCTTTCAGGCACTGGGCAGTTTCTTCAGTGAAGTGGTGTGAATTTACATTACATTTCCACAACCAATGGCTCATTTCAACTCAGGCTTTCTTCCCAAGCTTGACCTAAAACATCACCAACCATGAGACACAAGAAATGCGAGACAGAGGAGAGGAGAGAGCCCCCCTGATGCAAAGGTTTAGGTCAGCTGCATTTTGTTTAATTTATACAGCTGGAGAACTAAGCTGTTTCTTGAGATTTTTTTTATTTTATGAAGGGATTGGATTTGGGGTGTATAAATCATAACCACCAGCCACAAGTAAACAAAATATAGGATTTTGCAAGCTAGTTAACACTTCTTTGCATGTGAAAATATTGAATATTGATTGTATATGAAATAAAGATGTATTCAAATTGAAACACAGAAATTGGGAATGGTAATACGCTTTGACAGTTTTACCTTAGCAGGGCTTAGTACAGACACTGCATGTTTATTACAGATTCCCAAAGAGAATTAAGTCTATGAAGAATGGGAAACATTGAAATGCTTCAGAGAATTAGAGAAGGCACAAATACCTCAGTATGCAACAGCAGTCATTTGGCTCCAAAAGCTGAATTTGATTACATCCCATCCAGTGTATTTGCTGAATACAAAATTAGTAGCTTATTCTACAGTAAAATTAATATATATATATAGAGAGAGAATTTGTCTTCTACCTGCTTCAGGCACAGACAAAAAAAAAGAGAAACAGAAGAACCACTTTTGAGCTGTGCACTGTATAAAGTCTTACTCTGCTTAAAATTCCAAATTGTATACCCAGTGACTCTGTAAATTAATTACATTTATAGGTTTCTTACTTCTTAGTCCAACAAATGAGTATTTTTGCTATCTGCACAAGAAAGTTCACTTGCCATCTCAATTATAAAATTGAAAAATGCCTTAACAGCATTTTAAAGTAGTTCTACATAGAAGGTTTATGGAACTAGTAATCCAAGTATATGAGTCTTATTTAAACAGGTTATGTACCTACCAGCAGAACCAAAGTTCAACATAGTAGTGGAGTGATTGCCTGGGTTCAGTTTTATCTTCCTAAAAAATGGCAAGGGAGAACTGTTTGCTTTTGAAATAGAAAAGGGCATAATGGGAGAGGACCGGAAGAGTAAATCTGGATAAACAAATGTGTTATTTAGCTCAGTTAAGTACAGAGTAATTTAGTTATACTCTGGAGATGGCAGTTAATTGTGGGAATTCAGTACAGCCTATGAGGTTTTATGAAAAGACTAAAAACTAACACAGTTAAGTATTTCTACATATTCCAGCTAAAAGGTCATTGACTACCAAAGACCTTGGTCCATAGGTGATGTGCTGATTACTATTCACTCTCTTACACATTAGATACCTTTATTGCTGTGGAGATGCTTAAAGTGCTTTTTATGGTTGCATTTGATGTTGCAGGTAATGCTATATAATTGCATTTAATATAGTCATAAACCACAGGATATTCAATTTATACTTTCTAGCTTATTAAAAAGGTTTAAACTAATTTTTTTTATTTTCTGTTTTTATTGGGTACCTATGGAACATTACAGAAAAAATACTCAGTAGTGTAACTATCCTGTACAGACCCAGCACAGATTTATTTCTCCCTAAGGCCCAGCTTCCTGAGCCAGAACATCCTCACCCTCACTGCTTTCTCTACTTTTCTACCAAGGCTGCAGCAGAACTGCATGTTTCTCAGCCACCCAAATTCAGAGATAGGTGCCCTAACCCAGGTCAGTTTGCTCAAATGCCTCATTATAGCTCCAATGAACTGACGAAGTTTTGATTAGGTAAACAGATAGTGAGGGAAACTAATTTGGCTGAACTGTCCTATACTCAGCTGAGGAGACACATCTGGACTGCTGGCACCAGTGCTGGGCACCCCAGTACAAGAGAGACATGCACATAGTGCAGAGGAACCAACAAGATGGGCCATTAAGGCAATTAAAGGCTTGAAGTATCTGATACAGGAGAACAGGCTGAGAGAGATAGGACTATTTTCCCTGGGCAAGAGCAACCTTTGGGGAAATCTTATCATAGTGCGTAAATACTTACAGGTCTGAGCAAAGACAACAGAGACAGACTTCTCAGCAGGGCGCAGTGACAGTGCACAAGGCAAAAACTGAATTATAGGAATTTAGTTCTACAAAAAGTCCTACTTTAACTCATTAATTTTTTAATTAGTTTTATTATGATATTCGCTTGCCTTTTTTTTTTTTTTTTCCAAAACTGTTGGGGTAGTTAAATGCTGGACTACATTACTCAAAGAGGTTGCAGAGTCTCAGCCTGTGGAGAGATCCAAAATATAACAGGGCAGCTCTGAACAACTTGCTCTAGATGCTTCTGCACTGAGCAAGGCATGAAACCAGATGATCTCCAGAGACATCTTCCAACCTCAACCACTTTGTGAAATATGAAATCCAGTGTGCTAAGGAGATATGATCTAACACACCGGGACAGACAGAAAGGCTCATATCCCAGAACACACTGGTACAGAAGAAAAAGGAAAGAAAAGACACTAGGTATTTGGTAAACAGCCACTCATCATCTAAGGTACTGGTTCCAGGATGTGCTTGAAACGATTAGTCAGTAGCTGCCTGGAGTCAGAAGTGGACTCCAATCCTTAGATATCCATTAATCATTGATATTTTATTCTACTTGGGTTTTTTTGTTTCTTTTTTTCCCATCAAACACCTACACTATGCATTTGCTTTCTCCAGCTCATGGACCTCTGCTTCAAACTGAGGGTGAGGAGCAAGTGAAAGATCCTACCATTCAACAGATTTCGGGAAGCACAAGAAGATGGGAGATGAGCTACAGAACACTTGAGAGATTTTGGCAGGTGGTGGCAGGCTGAGCAAGCAGGGCTTAGTCACACTGCTCAGGAGGAACCCAGAGAGCACCTAGATAAAGGAACATGCAACATGTTGAATGGTGGAGTTAACCAGGGAAAATATAAGGAAAGGAATCACACACATTGACTGGAAACACCTAACAGTGAGATGGATGGGTTTGCATCATCCTGAGAAGGGATGAGCTTCTCTGAGGTGCATTAGTATAGAGAACAAAACGTTTAGAAGTGTGTTGGGAGACAGCAGTTCAGCCAATTCAATCAAAGTTTGGACTGCTAAGTGTAAAATGCTGCAGGATAGAGGCAGGGGAATATCCAAAACCCATATGGACAATGACCTGCAATGGATGTGTCCTCCTTTAATCCTCTAGAGGAGAAAACAGTCACTCCATCAATACCTGATCCTGTATTAAGGTATCTGACCATGTTTCCTAGAATCCAAAAACCTCTTTGTAGCACAGCCACCTCTGTCTCTTCCCTGAAACTGCAAGTTTATCCTGAAAGAAAGGGATATTTCCAAATTCTCTTGAAGAAAAGCAGTCATCAGTCAGAAAAGCAGTCAGCTCTGATTGTAGAAAAACATGGAGAATGAGTAACTGTTACTGTCTTTATCCTTATTATACACCAGGAACATCATATGACCCCCAAGTTCCAAAACAGTTTTAAAATATAACAGTATGTTGCACAATTTTGCAAGTTCCGAGTAACTATCCCACCTCCTCTTGCTGGATCCAGCTGGGATAGCTAAGGGCAGACCTAGAAAATATCATATGCACTCTCCCTTACAGAGCTTTCTGTCCAGTGATGCAATGACCTTTCAGATACATTCAATGATCTGTAACAAGGGTTTGAAAATTCATCATTAGTCTGAGTTTAGTAAGCTTATTAGTACAATACTATAGTGTAAGAAATGAAAAACATCAGAATTATATGGAGAATTATTTGCTAAGAATTCATGAATTCCTTCCATTTTGACCATCTGATACTTATTAAACTACGAAATTATACACTGATTCTCACGTTACCTGTAATTAGTAGTTTTAAGACTGAGGGTGCTTTATTTTTGTATTAATGACTTGATGCTTCATATTTTTAAAAATGGCTAATTCATTGCTTGCATTCAAAATACATAGCTGGGTTTTTGCTTAAGCATCTCAAAAGCCACTAAACAGTAGGTATTTGTAAGATGTTAGTGCCATTTCCAGTTTGTCTCAGCCAAGATCATAACCCAGTTATCTGTAATTATCACTCACAACTGAAGCCAAATTGGCAGTTCTTCAGGGTTTCTACTGAAAAAGGACTCTAAAAAAAGTGAAATGGGATGCTGGGGGAGGGGGGAAGAACACTGCAATTTTAACAAAGATAAAACCAACTTACTTAGTTTTCACTATTGAAGTGGAGCTGTAACTGTATCCTAACAGCAGTTATAATTATCTTACTTTTCAAGAGTTAAAGAGGTAGACTTCTCATCACATTGTTTCTTCTTCTATTGTACATATCCGAAATTCATTGAACCTCCTATAAAACAAAATAGAAATTACTTTGTAGAAGGAAGAAGTGCAAGAACAGGAGAAACTCTAGATTCTTTTCGAGAACATTTCTGCAAGAGTTTTCAAAATTTTTCAAATTCTTTTCAGCCTTGATTTATTGAGGGAGGTAGAATTTGCCTTTATTATTGAAATAACTTTTAATACTTGGAACAGTTACATTTTAATTATATTACAAGACCTGCAGGCCTTTGTTATCCAAACTTATTTCACAGCAATTTCCAGGAACTCATCTGGGGCAAAAACTCATGTCTGACTTTTAGACAGTGTTTTAGCATCAGCGCTGTTTGACCAAGAAGAAAAAGAATTCTGCTTAAGTGTTACAGGCTTCTGGAACATACTTTGCTTTCACTTGTGCTCAATGTCATGGTGACCTTGAGAATGTACATAATTCATGGAAGTACAGTATGTTTATTGTGAGAGAATGTGCTCCCTGTTTTTTCTTGTTTGGACTCTGCTCTGTTATACCTATGTAACCCCAGAGGCTGATAATTGACAGTAGCAACAGACACAAAGAGAAATTAAAGCCCTTCTAGCATATTATTTTATTCTTAAAACATCACAAATCATGTTTTACAGTGCAACACTGGGAAACAACCCTAATCTTTGCAATGACTCCAGTTCCACCCCACAACTATTTTATTTTTTCATAAAGGATTTAAAAGTGACAACAACCTCCAGAGGTGGACATTTCAGCTCCAGAATATGCAGGTAGATGGGCTGTGCCTCTAACCAGCAGATCACTGGAGAACCTCAAGAGTAGGCTCAAGCCATGTATCACATCCTAGGGACCCACCCAAGGTCTGAAGGCCTGGCCTTCAGAGCCACAGTCAAACACAGCTGCCAAGACTTCAAAGAAAATCTGCAGAAACCAGTAAGTTTATATACAAATATTAATAAATTATTTATAATAGTTATTAAATATTATTTTTTAAAGACCTGTTCCATTGTTTAGCCAGAGAAAGCTGTTTGACAGCACTGTGGAACTGCCCCAAATGCAGCAGAGAGGCCACCTGGTACAACACAGCATCATGTTCCTTGTAATATTGTAGCGCTGTTTGCATTTTACTGCATGTCACAAGCAGGTAATCAGTGCATCAGTGAAAAAAGGTAAGTCCAGGGAACAAACCTAAAGTAGATCAGCTGGTGAATTTAGTCTAGTTTAGAATAAGGTAAACTATTCTGAGTTGAGTTTTTATTACATCCATTACAATGGTATTTGATATTTACTTACGTAAATCCAAAACATCTGGACATCTGTTTATGAAGAAATAAGCTTTTTTTCCCCCTAAAAACAGCTAAAAGCCCCTTCATAAGGTTTGCAAAAGGATTTTATGAGGAGCTGAGTGGCAGCAGAAACATTTTAGTGGAAGATGAGTTACATTAGCAACACTGAGGTTCTGCTCTGTAGTATACCTAAGATGTTTGCTTAGACCCTGTAGTCTCAGTGATCTTATTTGAATCCATTTTAATTTTTCAATATTTAATTTTGGTGTCCTCCTCCTTCCGTCCCTTTCTGTTGCCTGAGTTGCCTTATCAGTCCTCTCCTTTGGTTCCTGGCCAACCCCTATCCTGTTATGCAACTCTACTTCCAGAACTTACTTTCTTTCACCCATTTCTCCCCTGCTCCCCAGTCAACAATTCCAGAGCTGCAGCTGAAAGACAAAAAACCAACATAATATCCTGGTTTCACCTAGGATACAGTTTATTTTCTTCCTAGTAGCTGGTACAGTGCTATGTTTTGGATTCAGTATGGGAATAATGTTGGTAACACACGGATATTTCAGTTGTTGTAATTGGGAACATTTCAGTGTCACTGGCCTTGGCAGTAAAGAGGTGTACAAGAAGCTGAGAGGGAGTATGGCCAGGACAAATGACCCAAACAAGCCAAAGGTGTATTCCACAATATAGAATGTCATGCCCAATATACAAACTGGGGGGAACTGGCTGGGAGGGGCTGATCACTCCTTGGGGATAGGCTGGGCATCAGTCAGCATGTGGTGAGCAACTGTGTTGTGCATCCTTGTTTGTCTTGAGTTTTATTGCTTCTGCTTTCTCCTTTTCATTATTAATGTTACTATTAATTAGTATTATTAGCATTATACTTTTTTGTTTCAATTATTGAACTGCTCATATTTCAACTGACAAGGTTTATTTTTTCCCCCAATTCTCTTCCCCACTGTACATGTGGAGGTGAGCAAGCAGCTGTTTGGTGCTTAGGTGCTGACTGGAATTAAGCTGCAACACATAACAATACAAGAAAACACCTCTCCAAGAAAACACACACCCTAAAAACCAAAAAAACCCCTTAAAACAGACACAGACACACACAAACACTCCCCCCTCCATTTCAGGGCTGTCTGCTTCACCACAGGACAGCAGTCTTAAGGTTTTGACTCCTGCATCTCTAAAGCAACTGAATCCCAAATTTAAAACCAAAAAAAATAGTATGGAAGCTCCCAGAAGAGCAAACCCCCTGAGCCAATCTCTCACAGACTCCCTACAAACCAGGACTGCCAAAATAATGCAAAAGCCCTGCAGAGTTTTCAGCCAGATGAAAGCATATGTATGCCAGTTTTGTTTTTAGGAAGAGTTTCTGCCTGTTGTTTAGCAAGAAGGGCTAAAAAAGGTAAGGGCAATCCTATCTGGCATAGCAGCTTGCACTGAGAGAGTTGCAGTTTGATTGCAAAATAGCAACTGAAACACTCTTGTATTGAAAAAGCATCAGGCAGTTTTAGCACCAAACGCCTTCCATTTATACCTTGGTTGTTTATTTCAAGGGCTGATGGACACAACTGATATTTAATGAGGACATAACTGAGAAGAAATCTTAAAAGGAAATCCCTGAGTACATTGATTGATCAGCCCTATTAAAAAAAAAAAAAAATATGAGGAGAGGACCAGAGTAGAGAAGTGAACCCTGGAGGCAGTTAACACACCCTATGCTCATGCCTCCCTCTTTTCCAGATCTCTTGATGGGAGTTTCTCTGAAAAAAGGGAAGAGGATTTTGCTGCTGCAGCAGCAACTCTGCAGGGTTGGAGAGTTTCCCTGCTTACAGCAAACAAGGTTCACATCCCCCTGAAGATCTGACAGGGAAAATCGAGTGGTGCCACATCTCAGCAGCTACATAATCAACAATTCACTTGGAGACTTCCTCAGGTGAGAAAAGTAAAAATCAACCAGACTGAAACACTCCATCCTTTCTGGAGCTCAGGTATGTCATCCATAAGATTGCTTCCATAAATTAGATACATTTAGCCATTTAGCTCCATATGTCCACTCTCTGAAGGAACAAATTTATGGAAGTTCACTGGTTCTAACTGATGTAAATTAATTACAAAGCTTACATTTACCATACTTTGTTGGATGCAATAATTACATTATGTGACATGAAAGCAGAAACTGTAGAAAATGCACTTTTTGAGTTAGTCATCTAACAGCAGCAATAGAATATTTTGGTCATAGAGTTAATTTTAAATTAGAAATTAAGATTTTAGGAGAATAAAATAAAAAACAATTCACTGAAAAGCTTATTTTCTACTGTTACTGGCAGTTCATTTTAAAATTAAGCTGCTCTCTTGGGCATTCTCACTCAAAAATCATCTCTGTACTGAATAAACTCATATGACCTGAATATGTTGCATCTGCTAGTAGGCAATAAGTGCTAAAAGGCAATAGACTGGAATTACTGAAGGAGCTGTAGAAAACAGTTATAAATGAGAAAATATCTTGAATGACATTTAAAACAAGTCTAACATGTAAAGCATGCAGGAAATGCCTATCAACGAAGAGAGAGGAAAAATAAAAATGAATGTTATGTCCATTTATACTTAAGGTACAACCCTTGAGACTAGCTTGGGACCTCTTGAAAAACATGATTTTTCTTGCCTTCTCGAGCAAAATATATAACTTTTCTCACTCAAACCATCAAGATGAAGATGAAATTGCAGATGGTTCTTTACATGATTGTGACATTTTTATCAAGGAAGGAAAAGGCTTCTTTAATTAACCTTAAGTGTATATATACATTTATGTATTATAAATGAGTTTTTCCACCATTTCAGGATGACAGTTCCTGCTTTCTAACTCCTCACTAGTTTAAAGACACTCTTCTTTCCAAGTGTCATCTTGCCAAAAACAACCCATTAAGGCTAAGTGGAACACAGGCTTTTTAAACTTCATCAGGATTCACAAAACTATTAAAGCACATTTCCCTTCCTTTCACCAGAATGGGAATATTAATGACACCACCATCATCTGGAGCACAAATAGCATACTGCATCACTTGGCACATGAACAGAAGTTTAGTGGGCTTTTTTTTTTTTGCATCACAATACTTATTAGTGGGATCACTTACAGTGCACCTTGGAAAGAGCTATTTCCATATTATTGCGGCAAATGCTTTTCCAGGAGAAGAGCAAAGCAAGATATTTTAATCCGTAGGGAAGTTGCAAAGTTGGGTGGAAGCTGCCTTTTACTGTGTCTTTTTTTTTTTTTTTAACACAATTAGTAAAAACAAGGACTTTGTAATTCAACAATAGGCTGAAGCCAAAGAAAGATAAGGAAGGGGGGAAAAAAGAATAAAAAAGGGTGGGCATAGGAAAATTCCATCCAGGTTCCTGAGAGGAAGGAGGTATCTGGGGGACTAGAGGTAAGATAAACTTTTTGGCACCAGCATGCGAAAGGATGACAGATGCTAATGGAAGTAAAACTGTTCTTCATCAGTCCAGGTAATCAGCACAGAGCACAAACCACAGAGTCAGCACCAAAGGCTGACATCCCAGGTGAGGCAACCGAGCACAGCTATGCAAATGCTCTTCCATGATTTGATCTCCACTTATGGAAGGTGACAACAGAGCTCTCCATTTAGAAAGCATTCCCTTGCTTAACTTATCAACGTGTAAGCACCAGCAGAGGAGCTGACCTTTAAACAAGACATCTCTTCTGACAAGAGAAGTACAGTTAACTTATACTAAACCAGCAGCTTCTGGCTGCAAGTAGGACCATGACAGTTTGGACAGCAAGTCAGCAGTAGATGTTACAGAAGTCCTGAGATTGGTCTTTTGGTGGTAAGAGGAGGAATATGGAACAGGGAAAGAATAATTCACTGAAACTTGCATTGTTTCAATTTGGGACAGACTAACAAGTCACGTCTATATATGATCAACACGTGATTTAAACCCCAATATGTCACTGCAGATCTCAGTCATAATTCTTATTAGTGTTCCCACTACAGAATATATTTACTCCAAGATGCCTGAAAAATAGATGACTTCTTAGTTACCTTCTTTGAAGTGGATTTTGGGCTTCCCTGACATCTCTTCCCTTTCAGTTCTTGATGTAAACAGAAAGCCATTTAGTTTTGACTCCTCCTCCATCACCTTCTTTTCAGGTCATTTACGGCATACAGGACATATGCTTATATATTTGATTTAAAAGCAGCACACCCTTATGCTCTAGAGGTATTACACATTTAGCATAATTTTCATCAGCAGTATACCCTCCTTTCTGTTCCTTACTCAAGCAATATTAATCATAGAATCATAGAATAGATTGGGTTGGAAAAGACCTCCAAGATCATCAATCCAACCTCTGATCCAACTCCAATTACTATATCATGGCACTAAGGGCCATGTCCAATCTCTTTTTAAAAACCTCCAGGGATGGTGAATCCACCACCTCTCTGGGTAGGCCTTTCCAATGCCTGATAACCCTCTCTGTAAAGAATTTCTTCCTAACATCTAACCTAAACCTCCCCTGGCAGAGCTTGAACCCATGTCCCCTTGTCCTATTGCTGGTTGCCTGGGAGAGGAGACCAACCCCCACCTGGCTATAACCTCCCTTCAGGTAGTTGA